AGTATATAAGGTCTTTAAGTCGGAATAGCGTTTAATTCATGTATTAGTTTATGATGGGGCTGGCGTGGTCGTATTGTGACCAAAAGCCCCTAAATATATAACAGATATTAAAAAAAAAAGAGTTTCATTCTCTTTCTTCTCCTTCGTAATCTATATTTTGGAATGAGCATCTAACTTCACTAATGAACAGACTGACAGCCCGTTATTAACTTGTATTTGTTGAGGTTTCAAAAGTACCAAATTATGGTTTAATTGAAATAATGCTTTGACTTTGATTTTGTAAAATATCGGGTTAATATGGTTTATTCAGTAACCGACTTTTTAATAAATACAAAAAATGACCAAAGAATAGACCTTCCTCAAAGACCTGATAAGTTATTTTCATCCACATCTTTAGTACTATATATTATGTACTACACACGTGTGTGATAAAATATGTAGTAAAAAGGTCTTCATTGACTCCCAAGTTATGACACATTCATAATAAACTCATCCCATTCTTTATCGTAGGGAAGGTAATGAGGTCACAGTGCCTATCAATGCTTGTACCTGACATTTGACCTTATGCCTGTGTCTAGACGAGACTGGATGTCTCGCGTGCAATACTAAAATGAAAAGGCACGACATAGGCGAGAAATGTAATTTCACACCGTCACGATGGGTGAAATTTCATGGGAAATTGTTTCATTTTAAAACATCATTGTTACATTGTGACATACATTTCACTTGGACTGCATTTATGTTGTGTATCACTATTGTACTAGGATTGTTATCTGCGAAAAGCTGCGATGTTACCAAGAGATATCTGGAGGATTAATATGAGCTCTAGTGTGTTGTGCTTTTGTTTTGTATTAGAAAATGAAATGAGCTCTTTTGATCTATGTCGTGTTACTTATGTGGTTTGTTTTAAGAACTGTCCTTTTCAGTATCTTTTCAGGTAAATGAGTGATAGAAGTGAATATACGAATGATTCTGAGTTTTACGAATAGTAGAACTTGACTACCGGAATGGTGTATTCCATCAACGATGATAGTAAAATGATTATAGGGATTAATGCAACTCTACACCATGTTTATAGGAAAGCATAAAGTTTAATTTTCAATACTCCGACTCTCTTTTATTACAATGGAAAGAAACAAATAACTTGACTTGAAAGAATGTGAAACAGTTGTGTGTTCAGCAAATAATATATAGCACTCCATTTTCTTAGTTTAAAAGAAAATAAAAATCCCGTAAGGTGACGATAAAATCTAAAGCCGTGAAGTTGAATGAGCGGTTTCTATAACCGTAAACTTGAACAACAATGTTAAAGTTAAGTAAGTGTTAGGTAAGATAGGTATTAACATAAAGACGAATGTACAGCAGTTCAATGTCAGTATGGACCACGTGCATACACTTTCAAAGTAGCGTTACTTGTTCGCGTGTCCATTCAGTGACCAAGTAACGTCCAATTGAATAAACATTTTGACTCCATTTTACGTGTTTGTAGGAAAATGGGTGGATTTAATAGCAGACAAGACAACAAACCTTATTTATTTATTTATTAATTCATGTACACACAAACAGGGCAGAGGACAAAAGATATATAAAATTCGAGTATATAGGTAATATTTTTTATCTTGCTAATCATTCAGATCAGATCACGTAAGGCAAGTGCAATTAGTCTGTTAGAGACATTTTCGTAAATAAATAAAAGGATCAGTATCTACCAAATGCATCTGCTGTATGCATCAAGAATCAATCATCTCCCGAGTCATTGTCAAGGTCTCCCATTTACGACCAATTTACTAATAATGCAACCATACTCCATCATTATCATCAGACGACCACGGATAGGGCCCAATAGGCCTGATGCCGATAAGGAGCCGCGGAGGACTTAACAGGTTGCCGGGGCTCCGGCTTGAAGGGCAGGACTAGGAACGGGGTGGTTTTTAATCAGTAAGAGCCTGACACTTCCTCCCGACCCACTCAGGTGGGAGACGTCAATCGATGAATCCCCCCCCCCCCTTAATGTGACAATGTAATACCACTTCAGTATTTCTAGGTAAAATTCCTATCAAGGAGGCGAAAACATTTTTATCCAACGTTTACACATATTGCAAAAATTGCTATGTACATAATTACCTTTAATAAAGGTAGAAGATAAGTTTATTGCCTACCGAGGTTATCAAATAAGTTATCAGACGTGACCTCTTTACTTTTATTTTTATATTGCTGTTTCATTGTAATTTACATTGCATAAACACACATCTCGAGACAGAACAAATACGCACTCAAGGTCTCGATGAAAGCCATTTAAAATTAATCGATTATGATGAGTAATCGAGTAAGCGCCATGAGTTGCATTTGGCAAGTAAAATTGATGATCGATTATCACACATTGTTTTGTTCTTTTGTGTACATTTCATGATACTATTCACGTGTCGGATGTAAATTGATGATTTCGTAATTAGCTTGTTTTGTTTTTGTGAGAAAATCTAAATTAGACGTGACTTTAGTTTTTCTCACGTCAGAAGAAGTGTTTCAAGTGTTAATAAGTTAGGTTATTGATTTTGTTTGGATTTTTTTGTTTTGATATTTTATTTATTAGATACTTAGTATCTTACAAAAAAGAGTCTGTTACTATGTTGAAGTTATTTTATTCAATATGATATGAGTAGTATAGCTATTATTACAAATGCTATGCTAAGTCCTGCTCAAGTAATAGTGAATATGTTAAAAAAATAGTAACAATATTACAATTGTTTCTACCTACCAATATATTATAATATTCTTAATATAATTTTTTTCTTTAATGAGCGTCTCTCGCCATCGAACGTTGAAGTTTGGCGAGTTTAGATTTAAGGTCATTCCTTTGTAAAATTCCTTTAAATAAATTTATTAAAATTAAAATAAAATAGACGACCCAAAAATTACCTACCTACCAGGATTTCGCATTTGATCCTGGACAATTAGTAAAATATATTAATATTGTGAAAATTCTAATGAGTAATTTTCTTATCAAATACATCGTGTAGTTGATAGACTTATTGTCACTGATAACGAAGTTGCGGATTTTGCGCCGTAATCAGAAAATCACTAAAATAATATTACTACTACAAAAAAACCTATTTTACTAAAGTAATGCAAGAGGAAAATATTTATTTTTTATACATTATTGGATTTTCGAAATTCTCAAATCAGATGACAGTAACATAAATACGTTAGAAATAATGAAAGTTAGATGTAGATAACATTTTCATACAGATTTTTAAAGCAATAATACTGAAAACAGTTTCAGATAAAAATTGGAATATTGTTAGTAAAAACCCTATAACACTTTTGTTAATCAACCACCATAAACACGACCAACAAGACTAACTTACTTACAGTCACAGCACAAAATAAAAAAGGTGTCTACACTCTACAATCCACAATAAATCTTGCTGACACATTATTTTTTGTAGAAAAATAAAACGTTTCTACAGAATACAGTTCTGCATGTGCATTATATCAACTGTCGTCGTAACAAGCTGTTGCGACGATTGCAAGAACGTGACCTCCATTCGAGGACTCCTTTACTTATAAACACAGCCAATTATATCTATGTATTTATATTTCTTAATGCTTTGGAATAAACGTGTGGAATCTCTGTTTTTTCTATGTTTCAATAATGTGTAGTTCAACCAAGATTATTGTTAGGAAATGCTTCTGTTTGTCTTGTCTTCTGGTGGGTTGCCCAATTTTTCGGTGGTTTTCTAGTATTTTTAATTTATGAAGATAATCCTCTTTGATTCTTTCCTGTTTTAGTTTTGACTAATGTTTTCATCACCAGATTTATCGAAACCATTGAAATCGTCTATAGCAACAATTTTAAGTGATGTGTGTGCTGTGATTGCAGGATAGTATTATCCACAATTCATTCATAATAACTACTTCATGTTTTCAATTAGTTGAAAAAGGGATTTTAGAAATACTTGAGCATTGAAAGCATAGTCATTAAGTTGCTTTTTCTCTGTACCTGCCTTCTTTTCTGAATCACAAGTTTTCGCAACATGAATTACATTTTTTCCATAACATTCCGACGTAAAAAGACATGATGTCAAAACTGCCAACGAAATAGTTCTGAGAGACGTTGGGCTATTGTGTTGTGACAATGTTCACTTTCATTCAACCCATATGTGTCATTGTAGTGAAAGTGAGGAATATTGAGATATGAAAGTATTATCCAGCCATGGTTTTATTATTATACTGTACCGTTTCTGTTCCGTGGTGTTATTCTTTCAAAGTTTTTGTAAAACGATTTTTTAAAGTGGTGTAGTATTTTAGGCAATGATTATTTTTTTCATGGTGTATGATCTAAATTATCAGTTCTGAATTATCTGAAGTAGCAACATTAATGTGTCTTGCTACTAATAAAAATATAAGAAATACAACCTAATGCACAACATTCTCCTACTGAAAAAAAATGAAATGAATAAAATTTACTGGGTCAAATACCAACCCGTAAAAATTCATAGATATGTATGTCATAAAAATATCGTACACCAAACTTTAATAAACACTCAAAATAATTGTACAACTCCAAAATAAACGTCAATCTCTTTGGAATATCATAAAGATGGACCGTAAAGTAATCCCCCTTGCGAGATTCAAAATCAGACAGTATTTATGGGCTCAGAGCAATTTTAAATCTCCTTATCTCCACCGGCCAGGTGTAAAACCCGAACTGTTAGCTTTTGCTATAGGCGATGTTGCAACACAATCACGATCGACCTTGTCTCTACATTTATTGCCGTCCTTTTCTTACAGAACAGTTGTTTACCTGGAAACTTCAACTACACCTCCACTATTATGACTTAAATTGTTATTGTTTAGTGGAATATAAGTAGGAAATACAGTGAGGATTTTTAAAAGGGTATGTATGCAGGAATTATGAAGGGATGTAGATCCGGACATGCGTACTGGAGTGGGACGGCGACAGCCGGGCATCGGCAGTCTACGTTAGTTGTTGGCCGGTCGCCGCGCCGTGCGTTGTGTTGCTCGCGTCCATCCAACCATTTCGATACAGTACACATATCAAATTTCACGCGAAAATTTGATATCGTCGTCGTTTTGTGAAGTGTTTTGAAAAAGTTCGTGCGTTTACCGGTAAATGTTTAAAGTTAATCCAACTTTAGAAGTTTATTAGAGTTTGTGCTTGGAATTATATTTTTTGCGCCCCTGTGTTTTGTTGCTCAGTGATATGTTTGCAACTGTTTTGTTTTTGTAGTACGTATCTTTTATTTTTATTAATTATAGTTAAATAGATGTTGATATTTTTCCTTTTATTCTTTAATTTCTTTCCTATATTGTTTCTAAATGATATCACCGACAGAGTTGCTTTATCGCTACTGATAAGTCTTATCTACAACTAAGTACGTTGTTCTATGCATTAGCAAGAATTGCACATTTAGGACACACCAGTTATCCACTTATAGCTGTTATAATAATTTACATTAGCATTTCCATTCGTGTTTAATTAAATATTTTACTGTGGAAATTAGAAAGTGGAAACCTTTGAATGAAAGTTCATCGAACCGATATTTAATGTTGTAAACTGATCCATTACGACAATGCAATCAAGCGTTATTATTATATTGTTTGTCTACGCATCATTTCATTCACATTATAAGGCAATCAGAGTGATATATTTCTCATTCCAGTAGCATTTCAAATGGTTTTGTTTTGTTTTGAATGTTAATAAATTGAATGTTATCGACCGTTGGAACAAGTAGACACGCGTTAAGATGACTGTCTTTATTGTGAATCACCGACTGTATGAAATGCGAAAGACAAAGAAGGGATTTGAATATAAGGCGAGGGGGCCCTTGAAATTGATCGTCTGGTACACCCCAGCCTCTGGTTAACCGAACCCTTGGATGTAGCGTAGGCACACTTAATGCGGTACAAATTTGATTTTATACCTCGGTTTCTGTAACGGCTAGAACAGAATCGGCGAACTTGTTGAATTAAATTTCAAATGTGAGTAACTTGATTTAAGACCTACGTTCGTAATATATAATATTCTTAGGTAACTAGTGAATGATAAATTAAGAAATTATTAACACAAATTTTTAAACAGACTCGTCAGACGCTAGAATAAACGATTGAACATGGGTATTAATTAAAATTGAGAAGCGTGTCCTCTCAGTTCTCTTGTTTATTAAGCTACTTAGTATGGAAAAAATGTATTTGTTCAAGGATTAACTATTGAATTCTCACCTAATACATTTTTAAACGAGTTTGGCAGGATTGTGAGTCGGTAGGCGCGTGCCATATTATTATTCCAGTATCAGCAGCATTCGGTTGCCCATTGAAGCGGTAATTGCGCCCCGTAATGGTACAAGACCCTTTTTTCGGATCTGTCTCATTGTTGTCCATAGGGTGTAAGGTCGTTGACATTGGCCTTCCCCTTTATATTTCGGATTTGCAACGATATTTTTCATCGCATGTCAGATTAACAATATATCATTTCTAATCGCTGTTTCGAATATTACTTCATACTTTATTATCGTTGTGAATGGTCATCGTAATCTCCTGTATTTGACTGTTTTCACGTTTCGTGTTGGCCATTAATTTATTCTTATTGTTTTTAATTATTTAAAATAAAATACCACGTTTAATTCTTTTTATCGGATTAATGACAGTTGCAATATGAAAAACAAGAACAATACCGGGATTTGTGATGTTTCACAAAAAAAAACTTGGAAGCGTTTTTTATTTCGGTTTTAGTTTTTGTAAGCCTAACGGTCTCGTGGATTCTGGTCCCGCTGTTTCATTAAAAAAGATCCACCAATTAGCAATTGCTGAGTTTGTTTCACGTTCTTGTCGTTAGCTTTGTTAATTATTGTTCTGTTAAAAAAATAAAACAACTACTTGGTAAGTAAATTGTTGGAACTATTGTCACTGCGATAGACTATTTTCTGCATGTGCAAACAATGTTTTACGTTAACGTTTACCTTGAGATAGAATCGTGAGAATTGCCGCACAATCACAGACGTTGAATATAGGTGTAACGCATTAACATAATATGCAAAATACGCAACAGTTGTTTTAGTAGATACTTAATACTTACGCAAAATTGGCCACTCATGCGGTCACCGAACTATATAAAGACGTTAAAGAAGTAGCGAGTGATGACGTGAGCGTCACGCCTGGGGCGTAAAACTAAACTCTAATGAGAGCTACATTCTTTTAGCTACAATGATAGCAATTGACCAAAACAATGCGAACAGAGCGGTCCAGAACACCGTTAGAGAGCCGCGCAAGAGTTCAGATATTCGTTGCATTAGTGAGGGCAACAATCTTTGATAACTCGCCATGGATTGCGCAAGCGGCCTCCTTTTCGCACGTGTTCCCCTACAGTTCTGCAACGTTTTCCGGTTTTTAGGTGCAATACGTCTCTATGTACGATAACCATAAAATTACAATAGGTTCACAATATGCTTGATAATTTATTCTAACTTGGGCAAAGGTTACCGTAAACTACCCAGAGGCTATACCTTCAAGTCCGGTTAATGATTTGTGGCAAAACTAGTATTTATGTTGTAAGTAAGTAAGCACAAAATAGTATTTTGATATGTCTAATAATGTATCTACTAGTTATCAGCTACAATAATGTTGTTTGTGTAAAGACATTGAAGCTAAGACAAATCGTTAAAACTACCTTGATTAACACCTTCACCTATTTACTTGTTCCCACACTTTACTTTTCCATCTATTTGATCTGCCGCCCACTTAGTATGACTGTGCTCCTAAGAAATATCAGTGTAGGTAGTACCAGAAGGTATGTTTATCTACACTTCTGCAGTATACGTGCTAGTATCATCAGTAACCGTCGCAGGTCTATCCCGTAGGGGCGTTGCACCGGCGCCGCGATGGAATGTGCCCGATCGTGGTTACGAAATGCCGTGACTCCGCAATCGTGCCTCTCCACTAGAATACGCAATTATATTATATTTATCGAAATATTTGTCTACACGAAATACTTTTTTATGATACCTTTCATCTATTACGTTACGTTTAAATGGAAACCTAGAATTCTAACCGATTAATGGTTACACTAATTGGGTTTCTTGCTCCGCTACTGTTCTTCAATAGCTTTTTAATTACCCTTTTGTATGGGCTGAACATTCGCTAATGTGTACGCTTAAGGTCGTTCCGGAAAACACAACGAAGCCCATTGTTAGGTGCAGCTCCTTATATTGCAAGTAGCGGTCTGACTTCATAGGCCCCGGTCTCCATGTGCCGTGAGCCTAAAATTCTTAGAATGTCTGCTGAATACATTTACTAAGCCTTCTATGGTGCTCTTTAATATTAATTAGGTCCATTTCTTTTTTTAGCGTTATCGATTCTCCTTATATGTTTTATTGCTTACGATAAAATTCTTTGCACTTTTCCTCGTTTAAAAAACTTGAAAATGCATTTATCAAAAATGCGAGTGGCTGAGTATAAAGTCTTATCTCGTCTCCCCCACTTGCAGCTTCGTAAAAGAGTGATGGAAGCGATTCGTCATGTTCCCTGCTTAGTGACCCACTTACAAGAAGGTTTTCGACTTGAAAGATTTTTACGAAATGTGTGTGGGTACTATTAGCGTCATGGAGGGCCACCCCTATGGAGGAATCAATCGGTTTCACGCTGTGTCACACATTTATATTGTTTTATCCTCCATTGATCCATTCGACATGACCGTCTTATTTGTCCGCGCTAATATTATCTGAACGGATAAAATATTTTAAAAGTACTTAAACAAAAAGCGCTTAACTTAAGCAAATAAGCAAAAAATCTTTTCAGTGTAACAAGGACAATGAATATTGATAGGAAGGGCGTGCTCGTGCCTTTTACGGATAATAAAAGATTTTTTGCACCATCCTTCTTTTTTAAACTCCTTCCGCGTCAACTTTTTTGTACATTGATTAATGACCGTCCTATTTAGAGATTGTTCAAGTGAAGATGAACAAAAGCTTTGCACTTCATTGATTGAATTTTTAACGGTCCTTAGATTTTATACTGTCATCGTAAAATCTCGGTGTTCATTGATATTGATTACATTAAGTTTTGTAATCGGCAGTTTTATAACACCTTTCAATTTGTTTGCATGATGCTAATTTGTCTTGGCGATTACAGTATCTTATTAGCTGTAGTGTAAACACAAGTTATGAGTGAAACTTGTTATTACATAGATCCGCCAGTGATTTATTTGTTTTCAATTATATAGACTAAGATACTCGTATTGTTTATTGATTCATTTAAATTAGACTTTCAAAGAGATAGAAGTTGGATATTTTAATTTGCAATAAAGCTTGTATTTCCTCATTTCAGTAGGTAGAGTGTTTCTATGATTACTTACTGGGTTGTTATAATTAAATGGGTTGAAAATTGCAGGTTTACAATCATTGTGATTGAATTGAATTCGAAATTAGTTTTCAGTAGATGGTCAAATTAAATTACTGATTAATATTATGTAATAAAATTCACTGATGTAATAGGTAACTTGTAATCTTACACTAGTTTCATATTGTAAGCGGATCACGATTGTTCAATTTGATGTTATGAATCGAACCTCTCATTAAGAAGTTCCGTAAAGTTCATTAACCGAACATTTGTACTTACATTTCAATTCTTTATATCCTGTTGCGAATAGCTAAATTGACGGAGACCGCTAATAGCCGTACATGTACTTACGTTTCCTCTTCGTTTGTTGATTAACGATTTCCTCAAAATATCTTATGCAAATCTCCAAGTTCCACACGTGTTACGAGATTTGCTGTTACATCAGTATTCCTGTCATCTTCATCAAGGTACCTGAGACATGCCCGCATCGTTTGCTTGTGTCAACTCGCTGTGTTTGTTTGACCGACCTGATGTGCATCGCAACGACCTTACACAGTTAGGGGCGACCTGTACGTATCCTGTTCTAGAAGCTCTGCCAATATTAATTTTAGCTATTAATATGATAGAAGCATCGTGAATATAACTGCATTTTATGACATATTTAATTAATTTATCATTATCGTGATATAAATTGCCGTTAGTTTATCCTTAAGTATGATTATGTCCGCTGATATCATCATAGCAAACGCTACACAGTAAACTACCGCCACTAGTTTTGAATACGATTCCCTGATTAGATAACCATATGTTTATACCGCAACCACAACACACAGTGAGTAAGATGATACCATATTCGTACAACTCCGTTCCACAAACATGAGCAAAAAATTAGATCT